CAATCTCTCATGAAAATATATTCAATACAAGTATGCATAAGAAATTAGGTCTTCATGTTTTTGACCATATCTTTTACCCAAAAAGGTTTCTTTTGGGGTCTTGAGCCATCAATCAAAAATCTCACGTCACCCGCATGCCACAAACCCAAAACACCAGAGAAAAAATTTGACATTTTGTTAATCAATCAACAGACAAATGATAGCTTTTTATAACATATGACACAACAGTTATTCTGACTATGACATTCTAGGTAATCCATTATAATTTCAATTCACAAAATCTTGTTTGGATACACCAACTAATTAATCAAGGGGACTTGTACATAGGTAAACTTGAAAACTATGAGAGTTTGTCCAGGAGTTCCCTTAACCTGCTAAGTACCCAAGGAGATACAGTAATAAAGTTTTCCCGGAAAAATCCCAATTCAAGCTCTCCTGTAGCCATCTTTTGGAACTGAGTAAAAGAGACAAAGAATATAACACCGCTTCACATAAGTTTTTCTCTAAAGTCAATCACAGTAACTTCAAGTTAGTTTTTTAACTTTAAATTTGATAAGTTTATGAAAGGCTACAGGAAAAAACTATGTTTTCATGCTTATACAAAAGCTCCACCAAATAATATAGACAGATTTATTTTCATAGATTGTCCTGATAATTTTATTTAAACATTTATTATTGAAAAACTTTTCCACCCGTAGTATACATTATGACGTCGAGCTAAGTTATTAATGTGCTTAATTATTGTTTGATACTTGTTAATATTTATACAGTCCCAGTCATTATGATATCACTACTTCATAATCATTTATAATCATAACTTGAGTAACCTTCTCTTATATTATTGTGTATTGATTTATATACCTCTTCCTCTTATATTGATTGATTATTTTTGCATGCTTCTCAATCAAATAGAAAAGAAAATGCTTAAAAGAAAAAAAGTCAAAAATGTAGAAATACTAATCTAGAAGTAATGCATTGAGTTTATATATCAAGTTTAACCACTAAGAATGTTACTATCCAAAAGTACTATTCCAATTTGTAGACAAAATATATATGCATTAGCGTAGCCGACATTAAACCAGTGAAGTTCGCTTGTTTGAATGCTAATAGGGCTACTTGGCCAACAACTGCAATAAACCGTATTTAGACTGTATAGAAATTGTGTTTTATAATGAAACGTGACTCTTTTAAAGTAGAATCTTATGATATGAATGCAAATTTTATCGTATTTGTTTCAACAATCGGAATCCTAGTGACCATTAAGCTCTTGAAACTGAACAAATCTTTTTCGACATGGTACACTGTTTGTGGACTTTCCACGCAAGGATCTAGTCAGGAAAAGCTGTTGGATTATATTACGTTCTATACACTTTACTGTAATGAATGTTTATTGGAAACCAGCTAATTTTAATTGTTACGTTAGCTTAGAGTAGTACGGCGAAAACATCGTACGTCACTTGTCTAAAATATGTTTACCCTACTCGTATAGTAATTCCACGAATACTAGAAAATTACCGGTATGGATCATAAACATAAACAAATAATGACGTCGTTGGCTTGAAAGTAAACAAAACCCCTCTACTATTAGCGTAAATTAACATATGGTTTTGTTTACTTTCGGGCCAAAAACGTCATTTTTTAATGTTTATGATCCAAACCAGGTCTTTTCTAGTATTCATGGGTAATTTCCTATTTTCACTACTAGTGACGTAATATACTATCATGTATATTATGTAGCAGAAGAATACAGTAATTTACTTAATCACATGAGTTTATCATTCATCTATCGTAGATGGACCTCAACCTGTAATGAATGGTAAAAATACATTTTACCAAAACATACCGTAAACTATAAATTCTTAAAACACGAGGAAAAATTAGAGAAAACTATAGTTGTTTATGTTTATATTTTAACAAGTGTATTTATTACAGTTACTGTCGTGTCAAATATCAACATTTTCGTCACGAACAGGAAAATTACTTGTTTACAACAGTTTTTGAATAACTAATTTCTTTCTGGGAAATTAAAGTATCATCATAATGTTTATAAGGTTTCCCGCTCCAAAGTGGATCATATTTTCCTTAATAAAAATGAGTTCAAATACCAATTCGTAAAATAAGTGCTTCTCAAAGCTAGAAAATGACAGTCACTTTACATACAAAAATAGAACAATGTTCACCAAACAAGCAATTATCTCGTTAAGAGGCTATTTTGAGACCATTAAAATATTTTAGATCATGAAGTTCAGAAATAATTTTTGGTTTTCTTGTTTAGTAGCTAGATTATCCCTGTATGCTTCAATACAGTATAGTAAATGCTTAGCTGAACAGGAAAAAACTGGACTTTTGTAACATATTTTTTAGAACCCAACAAAATTTTGCATTTTAAGTATAATATTTAATATTAGATCAAAGAATATAATATTTTAGGTTTATAGATACTTTAATGGATTCTTAAGTGGTGAGATCGTATTATTTAAGGGGGGGGGGGTCAAGAGGGGGTTTCAAGACAAAAAGGGAAATACCACATAGGTTTATATGTATTTTCACTTATATAAATAAAATAAAATACCTTTAAATAAACACTTAAAATATAAATGGCATGCTATGTATTTACTAACTCGTACAATAATTTACTTGTTATTTGTCAATCTTTTGCTAGTTTGATTAAGTTTCACTATTTTTACTGCCGTTTTGTTAGATACATCGGCAGTTTTTTGTAGATGTGTACTTATGTGCAATAATTTAAATTATAGTCTTAAAAACGGATAAATTAAATAATGTAAGACAGCTAAGTGGTCGAGAAATAATGTAAAGACAGCATGAATATCAATTTAATGTATACGTTCTTCTTAATTACATGAAAGCGTTCTATATTTGCAAATGATTCAAGCTCCAACTGAATATCTGAATACTGATTTGGGAAATATTTATGCTTCGCTGATATTCAAATAATGATTTGATTGTCCATTCATTATTTTAATTTAAATGTTTACATAGCGATCAGAATAATAGTTGGTAAACTTATTTAGTGCAGAAATAATTTCTGAATTGTTTTCCATTGACAAAGGCAAAACATTAATAAAAAGAAAAACTTTTTCTTGCTATTCATTAGTGAACTAAATAATAGATCAAGTTTTCTGTTTTATTAAGCTAGAGTTTTCAGTACTCACTGAATATGAATGTATAATTAAAAGTTAAAATTATAAACGGCATCAGCGATCTGACGTAATTACTTCCTACAATTAGCTTGACAACAACCTTTATCGAGGGTAAGTGGTGGGAGGAACTATAGTTTATTAGGCAAATCTCAAAGTAGACAATCACATTTACACTGTAATTCTACAGCAATTCCATTCACGAACAGACATAATCTTAAAATATTTAATGCAAGTATTTACAAATTTTACGAAATTACAGAACAAATTAGTGAACAATAAACAATTGAATGAAAAGAGTATGTTCACATTTGTGGTTCTAACTTCGTTTTCATTAAAAAATAAAACAATTGATGAAGCATTTTCTGTTATAGACACCTCATCTTTATCGAGTATAAGAGGACTTTTTGAGTGTTTTTGAAGTCTTAGCACTCAAAATAGTTGATGTTCCCACTTATTTCTTGTTATTTTACTAACAACACATCTATGACTAAATACGACAGCATTTCTGTGAGAAAATGCTTTTTTACCTCCGTAGGAACAAAAAAGATAAAAACTCCTTACATTTTACCTTAAATTAAAATACATTTATATAATCAAGCGTTAGTAAGAAAACCCACACACAAGACGAAAAATCTACAGAAAAAAGTATTTAGATATTTTTTGAGTGTTAGAAGTAGTCAACTCGTATTTTAAGACAAGGTAACAGGCTAAAATGTTGTACACGTTTCACAGTCACCAGTTCACCATCACCACCACCAGTTCAGTCAGTTGTATTACACTGCCACCGTTCCACAGCCAGCTGTGTTTGCTGTGTTGTTGTTTATTGGTCACGTGATATGGCTGTTTGCACATGTGTTGGATGTCGGCAATTGTAACATGTAACCTCATAATTTTGGATCAGCTGGAATTCTACGTATATTGTAAAAGTTATCAAAACATGTTGGTGTGAATTGAATTGTGATTTTCCAAACTTTAAGTCGGTTTTAATTGTTCTTCTGTTATTTCTTGAATTATTGTGCATGATAGGCCAGGGTTGAAAGAACTTAGAAACATTTGGTTAACCATTCCTCCATTATATCAGGGGGTTTTCGCAATTGGGGTTGAAAGAGCTAATTAGAATATAATCAATCGGTTAGCAAAATCATAAATTCGGTTAGAATTGGAATATCGCTTTGCCGTTTCTACTACACATATGATATTAAAAAGTATACAGTACCTTAATTGAAAATTAGACAAGGTAAACAAATTTGTAGTACAAATTATATATCATGATGTACACAAGTGTGTTTGTAAAAATAAATAATGTTACAAACGGTGTTATAAAAAGTAAACTTTTTTTGTAACAATTTACAGATTGTCTGTAGCTTGTAATGACACATTTGTAAAGACAGGTTGAACATAGAATACAAAGAAGACACATAAAACACACAATTATTCGTTCGAGTCCTCTCTGGATATTAAATATTGTGTGTTTTATGTGTATTCTGTGTGCTCTTTGGCTTGTGCCTTCTGATCAAACTTGGCAAGTTTTATTTATTTTACACTAAGCTATTATTTTACAAAAACCACACTTTATTTGTTTCCTTATAGCAGCAAACCTAGGTACTCGTTAAACCTAATGTTATATAAATAGATTTAATTGAAAATCAATTCAGACAAATGGAAATTCGTTTAGTCGGCAAGTTTGCTGCGGCAGGGGTATTTCTAATGTAAACCATTTTATGTTAACACATACATTTTTGAATTAATAAAATAATTTTTATAGTTTTTTTGCTTCAAAAACATTTTTCAACAATCAAAAGTGTTCATCATAGAAACCTTTACGTTAAGTTTCTAGCCTAGAAATTTAGTTGAATATCTCAAAACGCTCGGAAATGCGTTTTAAACAGTTTTACACTCTACACTCGTGCTGATGGTCTTCTTTTCTTACATGTTTGCCCTCCAACTGCTCCTGTATCTCTTGCAGAGTCTTGCCCTTAGTTTCAATAAACACGCACTGAGTAAAAATACAACACAAGAGACAACTGACAGCGTAGATCCAATAGTTCACGTACATTCCAGCATAATTGGTGACTGGGAGATAGATTTGGTTGAGCAGAAGGGAAGTCAGCGCAAATACGATAGTGGTGATCGCAGACGCCGACGCACGGATGTTGGCAGGCAGAAGTTCTCCTTTGATGGAAACACCAATAGGACCGAGACCTAGAGCGTAGATGATGCCGTGGAAAATGAAGCATACAAACGGAATCCAACTGTAATCTTCTACTTCAATCCTGGTCTTTTCATTCAGCAAAAACCACAGGCCAGCGACAAAGAGGAAGAAACTGCAACCCAGGGACGAGTAAGTCAGGAGGACCTTGCGGCCGAAGCGGTCAACCATGAACATTGAACAGATTCCACAGATGAACCAGGTAGCAGCCAGGACTATAGAGCACTCTGAGAGCGTGAAGTGCTTAAACGCTGACGAGGGGAGAGTCACAGAGCTGTACGCCATGATTAAATTGACTCCGGCAAATTTGACGAATATTGCATACAATTCCACAATAAGGAATGCTTTTCTATTTGATCTTGACGTGAAAATATCTTTTACGGAATGTTTGTTTTCCATTTGTTTGCTAATGTAGTCTTCAACCGATGTTACTTCTCTTTCTAAAACCTCCTCGGAGACTCCACCTCTTAGCCATTGCAGAGATTTCTTTGCTTCATGTCTGTTTCCGTGTCTCAAGAGGAAGTAAGGTGACTCTGGAACGGTTAGGAGTGTGATGAAGAAGTATATCGGAATTATTTCTGCTGTGAGTTGGAGAGTTTTGTATGACACGAAGGCACCTACGATGTAGATGAACAGTGTTCCTGAGTACGCGTTAAGGGAAAACAGATTACCCAACGCCCCTCGAATCTTGGGTGAGGCGATTTCTCCCGTATACATCGGAGCAACGGTGGTAATGACTCCTATCCAGAGCCCGGCTAGGAGTCTGGCAATGATGAGATGGCTTACTGACCTCGCGTAGTAGGTGAGAAGCAAAGAGGCTACGGGTAAAATACTGCAGATGATTAACGACTTCTTACGGCCAATATGGTCCATGAGGTAGCCTGAAAGTAATAGGAAAAACAAGTAATTAGTAACTAATAACGATTTAAATATCTTCAGTCATACAAGTAGTTTTGTTGTGACCTAGGTTTCAGCATATTGGATGCCAAGTTTTTCTCATGATGTAAAAAAATTTAATTAGATCCTAACAGGTATTTATCGATAGACCTACACTTTTAAAATGTGTTCCGTAAAAAAAACTACAGCCATGAAGTCATTTTATATGCCTACAGCTTTTGTGCCTACAGTGAAATATACGCACTAGAAAATAAAATTATTGGTCTGTTAAAACTATTACCAAGCATTACCCGAACAAAAGATTGTTACTAACAGGTCTATTCTTTAAACATGTCTAATACTGTTCGTAAGAGTCAGAAAATTTATATTTCAACTATTATATTTAAACCTTATGTCTGTCTGTATGTGTGTAAAAGTGTTTAATTCTATCTCGTAAAAACTACTGAACCAACTGGGCTTACATTTGACGAAGAAATAGCTACGAGTACATTCGGAATATTCTACTTTCTTCTGAACTAGGCAACTACGGGTGCTGAGGTGAGGCTTTTAAACTCTCCATCCACTTAAGCTTGGTTAAAATATTAAAAAGTGTGCATGTTCGTCCGAAAACAGTAATTCAAGTTTTACTGTTGGCTCTATGTAACTACATACATGTAAATTGTGTACAACTGGCGTTTACTTAACGTCCCCATTAATGAGTACTACGACTATCCGCATTACTATCCTGATAATTAGACCAATTCGTTAATACCAAGCCAATATGTGGTTCGGATTCCACTATAAACTGTAAGTCCATTAGTAGCCATAATAGCTGTATGGGATATTAATTAACAGCTGTGTCTAAAGAATATGTCAGCGTTAGTCACTAAGAAGACTACAAGATCGCGCCACTCGTCCTACACTCATCTCCATTCATACTTGGCCTAAAATACCTATTTTATATGGTCGCCATTTCATTGAAAAGTATTAAAATATTAAAGTATTAACACTGGGATGGAATGTATCCATAGCCCCTTGTAATACATAGTCTAGTCATATTTGAGAAATTACCTAAAAAAACTCTTATAAGTGTAAAACTTGGAACGTATATTAAATTTTACTTCCGGAATAACATACTAAAAGTCCTCGAATAAAAACTTGTGCTACGGCCGCCATCTTGGAAAATGGCGTCCAAAAACCAGTTTTTCCCCGATTACTAAAAAATTATTCATCCTATAAAAAACATTAAATGTAAAAAATGTTCACCAAAGAGCTACAACTTTTGTATAAGTCATATTTCGATATAATTAACCGTTTAGCCATAAAATGCAATATTTAGAAAATAAATTTGAAAATTTTTAAAAATACATTAATTGCCATAACAAAGTTTAAATAAACTATTAAAAAAAAAAAATTTTATTAATTTAAATTTAAAAATGGGAATGTTCTGAACATTTTCATACCAGTAACATAACTTCTCCTTTTAATTTATAATTTCTGTTAAATTTTAAATGTCGTTGCTAGACTACCATAATAAACTAGCATAATAATAATAACGTGGAAACTCTTTGCAAGCAGTTCAACTTCAGTCTGATGATGAATAAGGATGGGGCAATTATGTAACAGGATACAATGATAATTGTTTGAATTTAAAATAATTAATTGTATTAAAGGGTGTTGTTTTTTACTACATACAATATTAACATATTTCCACTGATTTAAAGGGTGTTTTTAAAAGAAAGCCGGGATTTTAAATGATAATTGTTTGGGTACTATTCAAGGTAACTAAACGTCTTATACGTCAAATTGAAGCTAAAATAACTAGGTTTTATTTCCCTTGTAGTAAGGGAGGAAACTTTGGCCTTGGCATGTGCAAAACAGGTGCGCGGTGGTAGGCCGCTATTGTGACTCATACGCTTGACGCCAGTACGACGGTTTACGGCACAACAGAAGACACAGATTGCAATCTGTGGTTCGCATAGTTTATATCTATTGCTAAATTAAACTAAATTTAAATATACTTGATGATAAAGAAACTTTAAGCTGGTTTAAAGAGTTTCATGGCACCGAAGTGTTTTGAAAAGACATTCACCTGGCCGGCTAAAAACAAGCGATGACATAGTCTAAGAAATCCGACAATTCTGCTTCAGAAGCCCGAAAAAATTGATTGCCCGACGAAGTCTTCAGTTGAACAAACCAAAATAGGTTGTTATCTATAAAAGGTAGAGTCGTTGTGCCGAAAAAGATTGAGTTCAGACATCAGATAAACCCGCCGACCGCCTTAACCGTACAGACTTTGCCATTTTTACGCTCATATAAGATTGATGAAAATCTGAATTTTATTCAATCATTTTGAATTGTATAAAATAATGAGAAAAACCTTATTCTTTTCTCTTCAATTTGACGTTTAAATCATTTACTTATCTTAAATAGTCCCCGAGCAATGACCGTTTGAAATCCCGGCATTCTTTTAAAAACACCCTAAATATATTAATTAATTAATTATTTATTTTATTTCATTCCAACGGCAAAACCATTATACATTTCAATACAAGAAAGATGGCTAGGTACTATTTACATACTAAAAAAAATCATGGATACTGAGTGCTAACAAATACATAACATAACAAGCAAATAAATAGTAGTAATAACAAACGATGCAACAACAACAACAACAACAACAACAACAACACTGTGGCTAATTAATAAACTATTGACATACCACAAAGAAGAATTTCTAGAAAGCTATCAGGCACACATGGAAGTTCCTTATTAGATAGTATAAATAAATATAACAAACAATATAAATAAATATAACAAATAACAACAAATGACATTAACAACAACAGCAACAATAAGACTTTTCAGATATGTTCAATGGTGTGACGGGCTTCGAGAACTCTTCTACGAACAGAGGAAGTATTCTCGTGGAAAAAGTCGACTGTGTGGCAGAATCGATTCCCAAGCCTCATCATTCTTGCAAGTGGGCTGTGAAAGTCGTAACCACGTGCATGATGCCTCCTGCCGAACAGATCCAGAGATTGGGTCACTGATGGAGTGCGGAAGTCCACCTGAGTGAGAAGCATTGGGCAGTCCAACAGGCCATTGATCAGCTTGGCGAGAAATACTACATCTGCCACTTCACGTCTGACTTGAAGATCATGGAGATGGAGGTCAGCCTGGGGATCAGCAAGTGGAACCTCCGTCCAACGAAGCCCCTGTCGTACTCCCACCAACCTTAGGAATTTCCTCTGCACAGCATCAAGCTCGTCAGTCAAACCAACTTGGTAAGGGGATCAAACTGGGCTGGCATACTCTAGGAGTTGGCGTACAAAGGAAGAATATAGTGTTTTTAAAACAACAGGGCTTGTCATTCCACGAGTAGATCTAAAGATGTATCCCAATAGCCTGTGAGATCGTTTGCAGAGATCATAAACATGTTCATGAAAGGATAGATCAGCACTAAAGGTAACACCCAAATCCTTGATGGAAAACACCCTTTCTAATGGTTGTCCTTCCAATGTGTACTGGAATAGCAGAGGACAGCGTAGACGGCCGAAGGTCATTACAGAGCACTTAGAAAAGTTTAGTTTCATATTGTTTGTTCTACACCAATCCATGATACAATTAATACTAGACTGCAGTCGTAAAAAATCATCTTGGTTGGAGACCATCGTAAAAATTTTGACATCATCAGCGAAGAGCAGAGCTTCCACTTGCAAACTCGACACTATGTCATTTATGAAGACAATGAATAAATATGGACCCAGTAAGGAACCTTGGGGAACGCCTGACACTTGGTGAAACTCTTTGGAGAGCAAACCAGGCAATTTCACTCTTAGGCGTCGATCCATTAGATAATCAGTAAGCCAGGAGAGCAGTGAGCCATGAATCCCGTAGGCTTTCAGTTTACATATCAGAATGGAGTGGTCTACCTTATCAAAAGCCTTAGCAAAGTCAACGAAGGCCACATCCAGCTGCTTCCCTGCTCTCATAGCCGATAATATACTTTCCTCAAAAAGCAGCAAGTTAGTCACCGTGGATCTAGAAGAGGTAAAACCATGTTGACTAGGGCAAACCAGTGGCTTAAAGAAAAACTTGAGTCGAGAAAGGACAAGTGATTCAAAAATCTTCCCCACGGATGAGAGAATTGTAATAGGGCGGTAATTTTCAACCTTTGACGGATCACCACTTTTCAAAATGGGAACGATGTGTCCAATTTTGAGGATATCAGGAAATATTCCTTGCTCCTTGCTGGAGGGATAGATTAAAGAGAATAGTCAGGGGCCCTGCCAGAGTCTCACTGAAAAACTTGAGAAAAGCTGGTGTTATGTTATCTGGACCAGCACCCTTCTTAGTGTCTTGTTGTTGGAGAGCGTTCAACACCTCGGGTATAGAGAAAGAAATCCGTGCCAAGGAGGATGAAGTACTGAAGTCAAAGGATGGAGATGAGACTACAGGCTGTGAGAACACCGTCGAAAAATACTCTGAGAACATGTCTGCCCTCTCCTGCAGATCCTCCGAAGAGCGGTCACACAGAGAGACTCTGGATGGAATCCCAGGCGCTCCACCAGAGGAACGAACAAAGCTCCAAAAGCTGTTGGGGTTATGTGGAATTGATGTCTCCACATGGTTCAGAAAACTTTTGTAACATGCACGACTGAGAATCCTACAAGCCTCACGCAAATCGCTGAAGTGTGAGTAGTCCACTGGATTGAATGTTAGTTTATAACGCTTGTGTGCTATTTTCTTCTGTATCACCATATTAATAAGCTCCTTAGAAAACCATTTGGGAAAGGGCGAGGATCCAATCCGTTTTAAAGGACTACATGCGATGCAGATATCTCCTAGTAAGGAAACCATATTCTTGAAGCTCCCATGGATACTGGATTGATTGAGTAAAGAGTATAAATCCACTGTTGATAGCATTTTAATTATGTCCTAATCATTTGGTAAATTTCAATATCCATTTACTAAGATAATTACCAATGCATAGGTGTTTTTGCGAGGGATTTTGTTATGTTATTCCACTAGGTAAATAAAACATTCATACCAAATCCCATCCTTGTACCATTATGAACTCAGTATGTAATTATTATGGTAGTCTTTAAACGAAAGCACCAGCAGTTTACCATTCAAAATGACACAGCAAATATAAATTGAAAGGAGAAGTTATGTTACTGGTATGAAAATTCAAATTTTTAAATTTAAAATAATAAAATATTTTTTTTAATCATTTATTTAAAACTTTTTTATAGCAATTAATGTATTTTATGAATTTTCAAATTTATTTTCTAAATATTGCATTTTATGTCTAAACGGTTAATTATATCGAAATATGACTTGCACAAAAGTTGTAGCTCTTTTTTTTGTGAACATTTTTTTTATTTAATGTTTTTTTATAGGATGAATAGTTTTTGAGTAATCGGGGAAAAACTGGTTTTTGGACGCCATTTTCCAAGATGGCGGCCGTAGCACAAGTTTTTTTTCGAGGACTTTTAGTATGTTATTTCGGAAGTAAAACTCAATATACGTACCAACTTTACGCTTATAAGAGTTTTTGTTAGGTAATGGGAAAATTTTGATTTAAAATGACTACACAAGGCTGTGTTTTGGCGTTGGTGTGTGGCAACGTCGCACCGGCCATATAGGAGCTCCTTTATGAATTAGTCAACAGCTGTTTCGGTGGGACGGGGTTGCGGCGTTGCCGCTTTTGTCTCACCACGGCCTTGTATTTGAGGAGGTTATGGTTATATCCATGGTCAGGTATTACCTGTTGGTATAGGACTGATGATGTTTCCAAGGTACATGATAGACACCATGATAGAAGCCTCTGAGACACTAAGATGAATGGGAGAGTCGGGTGACCTCAGCTTGATTAATGCAGGGGACGGCCAACCGAAGAACTCCCCACCGCACATCATGCCGATGTTCACTGGAAAGGAGAAAATGACCATCCTTCATTATATGGAAATAAACGTAATGTATATAAACAGGTGTATATAAACGAGGAAAAAATTTTAATAAAAATGGTTGGCTGCTTTTTTTAACCGTACATTTTCCCGTCCACATAGGCTAACGGACCTGTGCGATGAACGTATTCAGCAAACAAAGAGGTGAGTCAGATAAGTACAAGTGTGAATAGTACGCATAAGTGTAGTGATAACAGTATATGCCAGGATCCGAACTCACGGAATCGCTGCCTTGGGCCCAAAGTCCGTTTCGCTACTGACTGAGCCACAGACTCATTAAATGGTACAATATACACAAGTGTAATATGAAAACAAGAGTAAGAATAAACTTGTAAACCATACAATTTATAGTATAAATCTTTGTACTAATTAAGTAGGGCAAACATTTCCTTCAGTCAATTAGTTCGACCAATTGTAGAGGTACAATTATTCTCACAGAGAGTTAGTAAGGAAAATATCTAAGTATCTTAGTAAACTATGAATGTAAGACGTTTGGTTGAAATTTTGGCAATTTCCAAACTTTTACCTACCTCCATTAAATGCCACCATAAACTTTCTACGATTAGCTAGTCAACAACCTTATCACGAGTAAGGGGTGGGACTAACTATGATACGTTATGGGGAAAATCACAAGAGTTGCAATATTTAAACCCTAATTTTTACAGTGATGAAGGTTGTACAGTTATGTTTAGAGTTAAAAGGACCGTAACATACTAAATGTGAATCAATAATGTTTGATCCGTTTGTGTGAAAATCCGATTTTCCGTTATACCATGGTTTTTGTTAGTTATATACATTCTTTATATACTATGTAAGGGAATAGAAAGTAAAGGTAGAATGTATCTTTCTGCCCAATCACAAAACCCATTTGAAAATGGAGTCTCAACTTTTCAGAAAGATATTCTGGCAGTATTAGACTTATGTTAGTAAATATTTTTGACTCCGCACCAGTACGTCATTGTTCCACGTTTGAATGAAACAAAATTGGGTCTTGATGGGAATAGCAAGAATACTGCCATTAAATTTAATATGTTTCATGGATATATTTTAGCACGTAGAATATTTTAACTAAGCAAAGAGAACATTTAATCTTATTTTACCAGATCCACCTTGTTGTTGTGCGTACCAGTTGTGATTTTTCAATGCCTCAGTATTAGAACGTTATCGTAGGAAGTACGAAGTGGTACATGATTTACTACAACAACGAAACATCAATACAACAAAAAACTATTAATATATAGGGTGATTACCGAGAAACGCATGTTTTTTAAATAACGAGTACTCAGGTTATTCAGAGCAAAAAATGTATTTATGAGTGGAAAAACAGTGTACACAATATGCAATTTCAGAATAAAATTACTTGCAATTTAGCATTTAAAAATTACATCTCTAAGGTGGTGGTTAGAGAACATTGTTAATTTTACAGGTCGCATTCTGCTTGGATTCAGTGTTGAAGGTGTTCCTAAAAATTTGCTACGGATTTTGCTATCATATCTCTAGGAATGGTGTTGATTTCCTGGCAAATAGCTTCTTTAAGTTCCTGTATTGTTTTTGGTTTGTTTATGTAAACTCGACATTTCGAAAATCCCCATAGAAAGAAATCTGGAATTTTAAGACCTGGTGAGCGCTCGGCCTAGTGACACCACCAAAACGTGAGATAACTCTTTTAGGGAATGTTCGGCGAAGGAATTCCATTCTAATGCGAGCCCTATGGACTGTTGCCCCATCTTGTTGGAACCATACGTCATTACGTATCTCAACACGTTGATGGCACAGTTCCGGCAAGAAATATTCTTCCAACATTTCTAGGTACCGTTGTGGATTCACTGTCACTGCTCTGCCGTCGCGGCTAGGACTCTGAACTGTTGCAAGGCGCACTCTTTCAACTGTCTCAGGGGTACTAACTGTCCTTGCCAGTCTAGGAGGTTTCTTCTTAAGCAGAGATCCAATTGAGTTAACATTATGTATCCAACGCAATATCGTGTTACGATCAGGGATAGCACCATGCCGTGCAATGTTAAAATTCACCATTTGCGTAATATCGACGCATGACAAACGTACGATGTTCAAGGTCCCACATCTTGGCAAAAATTGAAACTGCACACTTCCCCCTCCACAGCTAAACAACTTCCGGCCGTAACCGAACGATATTCCTTATGTACTACGAAAGTCAAAAACATGCGTTTCCCAGTAATCACCCTGTACATTTAAACTACTCAAGTAAAAAAAGGCAACAGTATATTAAGATATGTCAAATAGTATTTACCAGTGATTGCAGACCATGCTTGACGAAAGTTGCCTCTGGTTTCTGGTGAGCTGAAGAACATATCTCAACTATTCAGTGATCTAATTTATTCTTCAAAACTGTTAAATCCTCTTCAAAGATCTAAGCTGTTACATTGTAAAAAAACTTTACACAATCTTTTTGATAAAAGTCTCGCTCGTGACAGCACTTTAAAAGGTTTGCTAACACTGTGTATATACAGTACATTACGCTAAAAGATTAAATTGTTTCATACTGCAGAGTATTTGAATTAAGTACAAGAAATTGCATGTCTATAAAAACACAAACAATTTCAAGCTGAAGGGCAAAACACATTCATACACTTATTCTAAACTATAACACAAAGTTGAACTGTGCATTTTCAGGAACGATCTCGTCATGTGGTTTTACAAATGACACCCAAAAAAGAGAAACGTGGAAACTGAATGTCTGTGGAATTATTATCAAGTGTGAACTCAGAAAACTGTATAAATACACCTTTGTTCAACTATAATAGATGTAAAGAAAGAGCAAGCAATGTGTCACTCAATTGCATTGTGTTTGCTGTTGACTATAAAGCTACTAATGTAGTTGTTTTCGTTGAAAAAATCCACTTATAAAATAGGTGTTTGCACACGGTTTGTTTTTTTTACAGAAGTTCGTATAGTTAATATATCGTACAATGTATAGATGTATTGCTATTTAAAATATACTTCAGAAACATGATGATCGTTTAAAATAATATTGTTGACTTAGTCATAAAAACCTTTTTAAAAGTCAATAAAAAAAAAAAAAAAACATAAGCATATTGCCTATCAAAAACTTTATAACAATATTAAATGTCTATGTATTGTCCGCAATATGTATACGCAATATCCAATATATACTTGTTTTTTGTTAACATTTAATGTTTAATAGTCGTCTCTGTAATTGGGTTGCAGGAGTTAAAATAAACTTTGTGCCGACATGTTAGGAAACATTTAGCAATATGTATTTTTGTTTGACCAATTTGGCCGATTTGACCAATTCGAAGCCTTTATAAGCAAAATAACCGAAAAGTACAAAAAATGTTTTGAATTAAATAAATTCAAACTACATTTTGTTGCAGGATGATAAATAACATCAAAATGTATGTGAGGATAAATATGCAAGTAAGAGAAAAGGTTTTGAATTAACCTTTAAACTGTTCTAAATAGAAAAACAACATGTAATCCTTTATGACACAAGCAAATAATAAGACAACGTTAACAACACACATTGTTAAATGAATGTACTAACTGCAACTCGCTGCAGATTTACATCTGTTATTGCTTCAGTTAACTGACTTCAATTAGGTTAAAATTGCCCTTCTTACGACCAACTGCAGCCAACTACAACAATTCATTAGTATTCACATCTTACTGCTGAGCCGTTGTAGGCTGTGAAATAACTTGATTACTTTTCCAGGGCTTTTTTACGTGACATTAAGTTGTAAATGGTATAAGGCGATCAGCTGGTCCTTTGGCCAATATCTCTTATAGACTTCATAAAGATTCTGATTGGTTCAAACATAGAAATTGTTATACTGTACTTATAAATAGATACAATAAAAAATGTATGTACGGTTGTTAACAGCGCTGCCCGCACCATCACAAATATCCTGTTTTCCTTCCACCGCTTCCACGCCAGAAGAGGACATAATATTAAATATATTTGCATAACGCAGGTTTGTAAATTGTTCAGTAAAATAATATGTTAAAGAAAAATAAAACAGAGATTCCAGTTTGAATGACCAACAGAATGTAATTTTATTATGCAATACGACCATGACTATTTTATGCTTATATAGAATAGAATTTCGTTAACAAAACAAAGAACAGCAGAAAAAATGATACCCCCGCCGCAGCAAACCTGCCGACTTAGCGAATTTCCTTTGTCTTAATTGATTTTCAATTAAATATATTTTAATAACATTAGGTTTAACGAGTACGTAGGTTTGCTGCTACAAGGAAACTAATAAAGTGTGTTTTTTTGTAAAATATTGATAGCTTAGTACAAAATAAATAAATTTGATCAAAATACAAAATATATCCATAAACAAGCAAACTACAACATTTGATAATATTCTCCATAAGAATAACATGGGAATTTTAAATTTATAATTTTTTTAATTTTCTCCGTTACTATTAACCGAACAAAAATACTTTTATATACTAAATTAATTGTTTTTTTAAGCTCTTTAAAAAGGTCTAAAGAGAAATTGGGAAATTTTGTGTTTTGAGGGTCAAAAGTGAGAAAAACAAATTTTTACCCCATAAAACCCCCCGTAAAGCCCCGTTCCCATGGTCCGATCATGCTGGTTCGTGAAATCCTTCAAGTTTATCCCGCTTTACACCTTTAAACCAAATTTCATCAAAATCGGAAAAAAATTACTCAAGTTATCGCGTTCACGGACGTATATATATATATATATATATATATATATAGGTCTTACCGTGCCACCTACGGTAATAGCTACTTCCCTATAGGGAAATTCGCTAATATTATAAACAACACAAAAGGAAAATTAATTGTGTTTATATGCTATAATGAGTATTGAAAACATCAACGTTTATATGTGTACAGTTATAGCTGTTTGCTGACTTAAGTAAATATTTTGCTTACTCATACTTCATAAGATTAGTTCAAGATCTAAATCTACTACGGTATTATGGGGCTTAAATAAATGTCAATAGGTTTTTACAAAATAAATTTATTACTAACGTAAAATAACCGACCTACAACAAATATATGGTTTTCAAACTATAATTTTAAACTTATCATTATGAAGTATTGAATGTTTCTTCAACATGTATACTAGTTGGTTAAATTTGTTTAAAACTTATCAGGTCTATAGAGGTTACGATAAAAATAATTGTAACGAAACACAAATTAATGGGGGAGAGAGCGGGGTGCATTATTTGGTTGACAGCATTCAATAACTCAATCCTCTAATGTGTAAAGTGTAGCCTACTTTTATACACGATTTGCTGAGTAATTCAGTCATTCGTGACTATTTATTTATTCATCCTTAAAGAAATTGGTAAAGATGTTATGTTAAGTTTTAAAATCATTAGGGATACCGTAACATCTGTAAAATGCTTTAAAGTACTTTACTTTCACGTAAAATTACTAATTGATACTGAGCTACTAGTCGGAGCTATTGTCCACAATTTAAGTGAGCAGTGTGGAGAAATAATCATCTGTTATAGAAGTAAGCTTTTATAGAAGTCAGCTGTTGGAGAAGTCAGCTGTTAGAGAAGTACGACGGCCTTGAAGGAACATTCAGTTTCTTTTTGCTTTTCATTCACTTCAACTTTTATCTCGAAGTAATTCAACTTTATTATCGAAGTAATTCGACTTTATTGTCGAAGTAATTCGACTTTATTGTCGAAGTAATTCGACTTTATTGTCGAAGTAGTTTGATGTTTCTAGTCTAACTTTAACACACACAACTTAACTAAAATATTGTTCAATCAGGTCATTAATGTCATATTCCATGACGTGTGCTAAAATCACTTTCTATATCTGACAATTCTGATTGAAAATATGTTTACTACAGGAACACTCCTACATCAACAGTTGTTGTGGTTACCATAAAAGTATAACAAACTATAATAACCACTTTGAGAATAAAGTCGAGTTACTTCGAGAAAAATTACGAATTCCTTCAAGATAACAGTCGAAGTGAATGAAAAACAGAAAGAAACTAAATGTCCCTTCAGGGTCGTCCTAGTAAAGTCAGTTGTTATAGAAGTAAGCTGTTATAGAAGAAAGCTGTTATAGAAGTAAGCTGTTATAGAAGTAAGCTGTTATAGAAGTAAGCTGTTATAGAAGTGAGGTGTTAGAGAAGTCAGCTGTTATAGAAGTAAGCTGTTATAGAAGTGAGGTGTTAGAGAAGTGAGGTGTTAGAGAAGTCAGCTGTTATAGAAGTAAGCTGTTATAGAAGTAAGCTGTTATAGAAGTAAGCTGTTATAGAAGTAAGCTGTTATAGAAGTAAGCTGTTATAGAAGTAAGCTGTTAGAGAAGTAAGCTGTTATTGAAGTATGCTGTTATAGAAGTAAGCTGTTATAGAAGTAAGCTGTTATAGAAGTAAGCTGTTATAGAAGTAATCTGTTATAGAAGTAAGCTGTTATAGAAGTAAGCTGTTATAGAAGTAAGCTGTTATAGAAGTAAGCTGTTATAGAAGTAAGCTGTTATAGAAGTAAGCTGTTATAGAAGTAAGCTGTTATAGAAGTGAGGTGTTAGAGAAGTCAGCTGTTATAGAAGTCAGCTGTTATAGAAGTAAGCTGTTATAGAAGTAAGCTGTTATAGAAGTAAGCTGTTATAGAAGTAAGCTGTTATAGAAGTAAGCTGTTATAGAAGTAAGCTGTTATAGAAGTAAGCTGTTATAGAAGTGAGGTGTTAGAGAAGTCAGCTGTTATAGAAGTCAGCTGTTATAGAAGTAAGCTGTTATAGAAGTAAGCTGTTATAGAAGTAAGCTGTTATAGAAGTAAGCTGTTATAGAAGTAAGCTGTTATAGAAGTGAGGTGTTAGAGAAGTCAGCTGTTATAGAAGTCAGCTGTTATAGAAGTAAGCTGTTATAGAAGTAAGCTGTTATAGAAGTAAGCTGTTATAGAAGTAAGCTGTTATAGAAGTAAGCTGTTATAGAAGTAAGCTGTTATAGAAGTAAGCTGTTATAGAAGTAAGCTGTTATAGAAGTGAGGTGTTAGAGAAGTCAGCTGTTATAGAAGTCAGCTGTTATAGAAGTAAGCTGTTAGAGAAGTCAGCTGTTATAGAAGTAAGCTGTTAGAGAAGTCAGCTGTTTGAGAAGGACGCGTTTATGTTACAAATGTATCTTGCTTTGATGCAACTTTCAGGCCTGCATATGACATTGTATTACCTGGCTGTAGGGATATTTGGTAAAACGAAAGGCATGATTAGGACTGGAGCTTTAAAATAAATAATTTAAAACAATGAATCAAACTCTAAGAAATTAAGCTCACTGTTAATCTAAAAGATAAACATGAACCTAAGAGAACTTAATAGTTATTTCATGTATCTAGTCAAATCAAATGAACCACGGATTCTCCTTTATTGAGAAACATACAATTAGTTGTCCATCACATAACTATAAAAAAACTTTGACCAAAAAGAACAAAAATTATTATTATTATAGATAAAGTAACAATCACCAATAATGGTAACGAAGTACAAACGTATTATGACGCATTTCGTTTACGTAGTTTCTTGTTAAAATTAATTTACTTAACAAAAA